AATTAAAAATTTGTTTTCTACTTCCTGTTTGTTGGGGGTGGACGTGCCACGGAGTGAGGTTGGTGTTTGGAAGGCAACTTTGTGGAGTTGGTCCTGGCCTTCCACCTTTCCGTGGGTCCCCGGCATTGAAGCTGGGTTATGAGGCTAACGTGACAAGCCCCTATACCCACACTGTACCTTCCTGCCAACCATGTTCTCAGGATCTGACATGTGAAGTAGGGCTAGCTCTTTACTGGTCATAATCGGGTTCAGCAATATTGTTTAAGTGTACTGCAATCAGGACATAAAAATGTTTATGGCCTTTTACTTATTCTCTCAAATTACTTTGTAAGAATTCATAATAACATACTGAGGTCAATCATTTTTCTGGGTTAATTTTGCTAGGCTACACTGATGGTCGGCCAAGATTAAGATACCTCGGGTTAGTTTTAATTATTGGTAAATGGAACATCTTCTAAGTGTGTATTTGAACTAGGAAAATCAACCATAAGGTACATACTTGTAAGTCCTGGCCAAGTGATTCTGTTTGCCCTCTTATTCTAGGAAAATGGATCATTCATTGTAGGAATAAAAAATATTTTTCTAAAGTGATTAATTATGTTGGAAAATCAGAATCAGTGTTCCCTTTTGAGGACTTAACGTTTAATTATAATTAATTTGTTTATAAACCTTAAAAGTATGCCCTGGCTGGCTGCGCTGTTGTTTCTAGAACCAGAGTCTAAATAAAGAGAAGTAAACACACACACACACACACACACACACACACACACACACACACACAAACTAAGCAGTATAAAGGGAAGAGGCAGGGCAAGGCGACTCCTAAGTAGAAAACAAAGTGTCAGGAAATTAATTAATGTACACTTTAAATACATTAGCAATTTAAGAGAATGTTCAGGAAAGGGCAGAAGGAACTGCATCCAAACGTTAGTGGTGATGTCCAAGGACAAAACTCTCAGAGGATGACATTGGCTTTACTTTCCATTCCTGAATTGCAAACATCTATTCTGTTTTATGAGCTAAAGAGTTGCCTGATTCCAGAATAGAAAATAAAGCCAATTAAAACCTTCAAATTGCTGCCCTTTGACAGTGGTTATAGTAGGCTCACGGGACTGGGGTGTTGTTCTCTCTAATTGCCCAATAAAATTGTCCATGAAAGCGTTGTGTAACTGTTTCATTGCAAAGAAAGGTTTTTAAAAGAGAATTCCACAAACCTGTGGGACTTTAGAACTCATAGTAAAATCTGTATTGTTTAGAACTAAATGAACTATGGAACTTCTTCCCCCTTTGGTCACTTTATTTGTATTTACCACGAGGGCTGGGATACCTGAAGTGAGCTCTGTCATGTTTTCTGTTACCACCTCCAGATTCTATGTTGGGCTGTCCCTTTTCATGGCCCTAAGGAAATATTTTGTCGTGTTCAAAAATGCAGTTTCCACTGTGCCCTTGCCCTGACTTCCTTCTCCGTGAACATTGCCGCATTAGCTGTGGTCTCCCTCTGTGTTCCTGCGTCTTCTCCCACTGGATGCCTCCTGGCAGCTAACCACGTTGAGCAGCCTTCCGAGTGTTTACTGAACACTTGTGGATATATATTCGTTGGAAGAGTAACTCTTCAAACTCTTTGCCAAGTTTTGAAAACAATTATGTGTACGAGTGTTTTGCATGCATGTCTGTATGTGTACTACATGAGTGCCTGATGATCTCAGAGGTCAGAAGAGGTCTAGATCCCCTGGAACTGGAGTTCCAGTTCCAGTTGTGAACCACCATGTGGGTGCTGGGAATTGAACCCAGGTCCTCTGCAAGAACAAGTGCTCTTAACAGCTGAGCCATCTCTCCAGCCCCACTCTGCCCATTTTTAACTGAGTGAGCAGTAACTTTAAGAATTCTTCATGGAGGCTGGAAAGAGTTTTTTTTTTTTTTTTTTTTTTTTTTAAGACAGGGTTT